AGCTTCTCCACCACCGCCACCACCTTCCTGGCTGCGAACTCCTGGGTGAGGGGAGGTAGAGCACGGGGGTGCTGCTGGCTTTAGTCCAGCGGGGAGGGAGGACCCGAGGCAATGGGCTGGAGGACTAGTGTCTCAGGCTCTCACTGGGGCCTGTCCCTGTGGATATGTGTGAAATTGGGGGAGGGGGTGTGTGACAGAACGGAGATGCACGGGATCCGGGGAGGGGCCTTTGGGACACCCGAGAAGCTTATCGATCTTGCCCTTTCCTCCCCTTAACCAAGCCTCCCCCGCCTCTCAGGTCAGGGGGCAGGGAGCAGGAAGAGACCCAGGAGGGGCAGGCTAGTGGGGCCTGGGTCTGGCAGGGAGGAGCTGAGCCAGCGCCGGGCTCCCATCAACCCAGAGGTGGGTCAGGTGGAGTGTGGCCTGGGCTGACCAGCAGGCTAGACCTAACTGCTATCTCAGGACTTCTCGGGTTAATTGGGGACCTTCACTGAGCACTGAGCACATTGGTAAATGTCCCCCCACCCTGCCACCCACCCAAACCCAGCCTCCCTAAGATTCAGGAATGGAGAACTGCAGGGGCACCGAGAGAAACAGCTTGTCAGAATGTCAGACTCTCAAGAAACAGCCCTGGCCGTAGTGTTCAGTTCCTTCCTCTGCACCCCCATTCCCTGGGGAGGCTGGGTGGTACCCCAGGAGCTGGACCTTGGACACATCCCCTCCATGTCCTCCCTGGCAAATGGCAGGGTGTCAGGACAGCAAATCTCCAAGGCCCTAAGGACTCCACCTCCTTTCCTCTTGGTGACCCATGTGCACACCGGGGTGCATCCTAAGGCCTGGTGGGCTCGCGTGTGCCGACGCACACAGCGAAGAGCGGCCCTCCTGGGCTGCAGTCTGGCACATCTGGGACCCCACTACCCACCAAGTGCTTGTGTGGGTGCTCCCACGTGTAGGTCTGTGTCTCAGAATGTCCGATGGCTTCGGGGGATCTGAAACCCCCTCGTAGCCTCCCCACATCGCCCCCCCCCTCCATGTTTCTGGGTCTCGGGGCTGCCCAAAGAGCTGCCTTCCTCAGGAATTCTCCTCCAACTCAAGAGTGCCTCTTGCTGTTCTTCCTCCAAAATTTGTTTCCAAGTTGGAATCAGGGCATATCGATATGGAGCTGGGTAGGTCCCAGGCTTGGGGGAGGCAAAAGGCAGAGAGTCAGGGAGACAGAGAACCCAGAGCCAGGAGCCAGGACTGGGAGACAGGCATGCATTTCAACTCTCCCTTCCACAAACAAGGGCTCACCCCATCTCCAAAGAATAAGGCTGCCCTGCTCTGTCCCAGATCTGGCCGTTTCCCTCTGCCTCGGACAGAGGGTTGAGGGTGAGTGTGGGTCTGGGGCCGCAGGGACCAGCATGTGTGGGAAGAGAGCATCGTTCCGTGGCTGTAGTCTGTTACTAGCTTGTGTGGGGTGGGGACATTAACTATAGAGCAACGGTATGTGTCCACCAGTGTGTGGTGTGCAAATAAGTGTTACTTTGGGGGCTTGTGGTACCTGAGTAACCCCTGAGCCCAAGACACACAGCCTTTCCTCCTCAAGTGGTGGTTCCAGGGTGGGGTCCTGACTCCTGACGCTTCTTCCTTTCCCTCCTCAGCTCAGCAGGCACGGTACCCTAGGGGCCCTTCACTTCTCCACTCCCCTGTGCCTCACCTGGGAGCTCCCTGTCCGCCCACCCCCTAGGGGCAGGAAGGGGCCAGCTGGGAAAGCCGGACCCTAGCGTCCTACTACTTCTGACCTCTATTCTCTGGCTCTTTGCTCTGTCCTTCCAAGAGCCTTTGAACACAGAAAGGGGCTGAGCTGGAGAGGGGTCTGCTCCTGTTTGCCCCTCTTCTTGGCTGAGGCTCAGTCTTCCTGCCTCTAAAATGGGGAGTCCCCAGCTGAAGCACACAAATGGAAATGTGTGTCTGTGGGAGCTGGGTTGGGTGGCTGGGGTCGCTGGTGGGGAAGGCATGCCTGGCCCAGCCAGGAGTTCTGAGGCCCGGGAGAGGAGGGGGACCGAGGTGCCCTCCTTCTACGTCTGACTCTTAGTTCCTAGCCCCACGCCCAGAGCCAGGACCGGCTCAGCCAGGGCTTCACCCACCCCAAGGAGCCCCACACTGCCTGCACCCGGGCAGGCCCGGCCCCAATTTCAGCTGGAGAGGTGGCGCCGGAGCTCGGACCCGGGCCGAACCCGCCCCTGCCCGGAGCCGCTGCCGCCCTCCCTTCCCCGGCCTCGGCCGGGCCGGAGTGACACCTACCTCACCAGGATGGCCACCCCCACGTCCTCGCAGTTGGCATAGAGCCGGGCCCACGTAGCCTGCACCGCCTTCCTCTCCGCCTCGGACAGCTCCTCGCTCCGCTCCCTGCGCTCAATCTCCATCTCGCCCGGCACTTTCTCCATGAGCAGCTCCAAGCCCAGCCCGGCTTCGCTCGGCGGCGGCGGGGCGCAGGGCGCCGGGCGCGGGGAGCCGGGGCCGGGTGCGTGCGCGGCGGGCGGGCTGGCGAGCGAGGGGTAGAGCGCGCCGGAGGGAGGGAGCGTGTCTGTGCGCGCCGGGTGTGTGTGTGTGTGTGTGTGTGTGTGTGTGTGTGTGTGTGCAGTGTATATGTGCGGGGGGCGGGGGACCGCGAGCGGGGGGCGGGGATGTGGTCTGCTGGAAAAATGTTAAAAAAAATAAAGGCGCTCCAAACCCCCAACCCCGCGTCGGTGAGCCAATTCCGGCAAGGTGAAGGCTGGGCGGGGTGGGGGCGACGCGGCTGGCGCCCGCCAGGCCACCACGGACCTTGACCGCCGGGCGGGGCTGGGGCGTAGGTGTGGTGGGAGTGCTGGGGTGGCCTCGGGGGGAGGGGACGGTCACGCGGCGCCGGGCTGTGCCGGCCGCACAGGAGTGCGCCCCGGGCGGGCGCGGGTCGGGGGGCACAGTGTCCCGGCTCATGCTGCGGGCGGTGTCGGGCCGTGCGCGTGTGTGCACCCTTCACGCGACGGGGAACTGACTCAAAGTCAAACACTCCCAGGCGTTTGCGGCGTGGCCGCCCGCCCGAGGGGACGAACGCGGCCCCTCCGGCGGCGCCGGGGTCCCAGCTGAGCTCACGCTCACTCCGGGCTTCTCCCTAGCCTGCCACTGGGGGCCGCGGCGCCACTCCCAGAGCTCCCGACCCCAGGCTCCGGAGGGTTTAGGACTGGGGTCGCTTCCCTGCTCCAATTCCGAGTTGGAATCCCCCGCTGCGGGGATGGGGGACGGCTGTCGAACTTCAGCGCCGGAGGCCTGCGGTCCCCTTTCCTTCCGGCCAGCAACCGCCCCCCCCCCCCCCGCCCTGTACGTGCACATGGCGTCGGAAAAAAAAGTCCCTGGGTGGCTCATTAATGACACAGGCAAGCAAAAAACAGGCGCTACCCCGAATTCCCGCCCTGGTGGAGGAAAGTCCACAGGCAAGGCAGCTGGCCGGGCAAGGAGGTACTGGGGGGGAAGGTGTCAAGAAATCTTGGGGAGGCCCAGGCCCTGGAGACGTCTCAGCTGCGAAGGCTGCGACCAGGCAGCGGTTCCGCGAATGGAGGACACAAATCCTTTTCCCGGTGGTCCTGCTCTGCGAGGTGGAAGCGCCACAGGACCGGAGGTGGGGGCTGGGCCTCAGAGCCAGAGGGTCCCCACCCTACAAGTAACTGTTCAGACCTAGCATGACTCCCAGCCCCAGCCCCAGGCCAGTGTCCAGTTCCCCCTAACACTCCCTGGTGACCCCGCCCTTCTCAAGACTTTAGGTCCCACTGCGAGTATTAGAGGAGGTTGGCTCTCCTCTTCAGCTTTGGTTTCGGTATTTTGAAAATCATATTTCAAAGTAGAGAGCCCAGGTGGAGCCCCAGCTCTGGCCCTCCCTGGAGCTCAGGTTCAGGTACCTCCCTGGAATCCTGAGCCTCCTTGACGCTGCCTCCATCTCATTTGAGGGAAGGAAAATCTAGTGCCTTCTTCTGGGGATGTTGGAAAGGGATGGAAGAGGGTGGATGCTCAGACCCACGTCTGCTCCATAGGCTGCCTAGGCCAGGACAGAGCACTCTGCACCTGGCCACCTCCCTGAAGCCGTCTGATAGGACACCCAATGCCAATGTGGTGCCCTTCCAAGCAGCTGCCCAGGAGGTTTCCACTGGGAAAGCGAGCAGGAGAAATCTTATTTCTATTTAGTTTCATCTCGTCCTTTACAAGTCTTATGTGTGTTCGTGGTGCAGGACTGTATTTGCCCAGTAGTATAGTATATAATGTCTAAGTGGATGCATATACCTATTTCACAATGCATACTTGAATTCGGTCTTTTAAGGAAGGGGGTATGTCATCAGTAACATTTGGAGAGGATTGTCCAGAGGGGAGAACTGAACCGCTTAGCCAGCCCTTTATTCCCTGGCCTCCCTTGTCTTTCTGGCTTCTTCATCTAATATTCTTCTCCCTTCCTCCCCTCCCGATGCCTCCCCATGACATCATTGTTCTGCTGACACTCAACTTCCAGTTGATGGAACGTGCCCTGTGCTTTCATGTCTGCAGCCCCCAGCAGAATCTTCCAGCCGGGGGCCCAACCTTCCTTGAGCACCTGCAAATTCCGATGCCCCCAGCTCCTCTTCCAATTCGGCGTTCCCTGAGGGTCTGCAGGTGCCTTCCATCACCTACATCTCTCTATTGTGGTCATTTATGCAACTGGCCAGGGCATGTGTCTAGACTAGAAGCCCCTTGAGGGTTGGGCCCAGGTCTCAGTCACATCGACATCCAAAACGGACAGCTTGATTTACCCTGCCACTGCGACGGACAACCTGGGCTGAGCGAGGTTAATCAGTCTGCACAAGGTCGGATCTGCTGACCCCACTAATCAGCTTGAGCCTCCTAATCCAGTGCAGGCGGGAACCTCAGGATGGACAGCAGTGGCTTGTGAGAGTGGGCAGGGCCATTTTGGCCTTCTTCTACAGACCTTGTCTGGGAGGGGATGGGGCTGCTGAGCCATGTGCACCACCCTCTTCCTGCTCAGCACCTTGGCCATGCTCTGGCGCCGCCGATTCACCAACCGGGTCCAACCGTGAGAAACTGACTGGGCTGCGGGCTTGGGTGGGGGGGGGGGGGACTACTGTTCGGGGCCAGAGCCAAGTTGAAAGTGGGCCCGAGCTACCTGGACCTCCTGGGAGGCTGCGGGGTGGTGGGTGGATTTGCAGGGAGTCCCTAAGAGGATTCCCCTCAGAGCAGGGGGAGTTTGCAGCTCTTCAAAGACTCTGTCTGAAGCCCCCAGCCCCCCAGCCCACCGTGGCTAGCTCCTGCAGGACAGCAGGGGGTCTGGGCCTGGGCACTGCCCACAGCTCTTCCTGCCTGTTCCTCCCTCCCACAGAGAGCCCAGCGGAGTAGACGGGGCCGTTATAGGCAGCAGATTGGAAACAGACCTCCGGTCCTCAGGCAGGTAAGGCAGAAGAGAGTCAGGGGTGGAGGAGGGAGGGTGCGTCCAAGGAAACTGCCGCTTTCCCTGTCCCTGTCCGTGCCTGGGGAGGTGTAGGAGTGTGTGCGTGCACGCTGGAGGCTGGCCCCTCGCCCCAGCCACCCTGTTCGCTGTGTGCCCGGTGGGCAGGCTGAATGTTTTCTCTAGGTGGCAGTGGGAGCCCCCAGCCTCTCCTCTGGACCAAAGCTGCTCTGCCTTGTTTGTCTGAGTGTGGGGTGGTCCCCAGGGTCCTATCAGAAGGCGCAGGGGGACTGGAGAGAGGGATGGGGCAGGAGCAGCTCTGGTGGCTCGGCCCGCCTTCCCCTCCCCCTCCCCCTCCCGGGCTGCCCCCGCTCAGCCTCAGCGGCTCCCCTGCCCAAGCCGCCAGCAGGATTCGCTGTCCAGTCCCCAATAGGAGGCGCAGGAGGAGCATGACATCATCAGCACGGAGTGCCATTGGCTGGGCAGCTCCTGCGGGCTGGACGCTGTCTCCAGTGGCCAGAAAGTTAACTCTTCCCTAGGCTGAAACCATGTGGCGTTTTACGAGGGGTGAAGTTTTAGGAACTTCTGGATTTTTCCTTCCCTGGGTGACCAGGGTCCTTAGATGATAGGGGCTCCTGTGCCCAACAAAACACGGAAAAATCGACAAATATTTATTAAGAACATAGTGTTTTGCATGTTCTTTCGTGCCTGTGGGCCCACCTAGTGTGGGAGTCCTGTGTGGTGTGACATTCTCTCCTGCAAAAGCCTTCTCCCACTCCTAGTGAAACAAAGAACAGGATGCCCTTGGGCTCCGGGGCCCCTGGCCGGAGGGAGTCTCCCCACAGGGCTCAGATGGCTGAGCCCTGAGCATGCCTGCCTGCCGGGGCACCCCAGTGTCTCCTTCTTTTGGGGTGTGGGACCCACCTGCAGTGCTCCTCAGCCACACAGAGACTGGCAAGCCACAAGAACGGGAGTCTCTGTCTGTGTGCAGCCGCTAATTCCTCCTCGGTGCTCGGATCCCTCCAGGCTCTGTCAGAAGGCCCACTGGGCAGCCCTGGGGACGTGCCGGAAACAGGCATTTCTGTGATGCCCTTCCTTGGCATCTCAGCTAGCTGAGATGGTCACAAAAGTGCCCAAGTAGCCCTACTGGTGAAATGGGCTGACCTAGGTGAAATGGTGAGCCCCGGGCCTCACACAGAGCAGGCCCTCAAATGACTGATCCTCCATGTTGAGTTTGGGTCTGGAGGTGTATAGCCAGAGTCCACATCCTGACTCCCTGCTTACTGACTGAGAGACTCGGGGAAAGCTATGTGACCTTTTTATTTATATATAAATTGGGATTAATAACAGAATGGTGTGGGGTGTTTGTGAGGTTCAAATTGAGATCATGGTAAAGCACTTGGCATGAAGTAGCTGTTTAATAAACGCTGGCTCTTCTCCTGCTGTTACCTGGCTCTTGATCAGGGTTCTAGTCTTCCCCTGAGGTCTCTCATATATTAACTCACTTGGAGGTTGTAACAGTCCCAGAGGGTTGGCAAGACAAGCGTTTCTATCTCTCATTAATGGTGGAGGAAACTGAGGGATGGGGAGGTGTAAGTTACTTGCTTAAGGTCATCCATTCGATTTGTGGCCGATGGGGACAGACAGGTCCCTGACTTCAGGCAGTCTGTCTCTTCCACACGAAATGGGCCCAGACCCCCTGTCAGGAGGAAAGAGCTGAATCTGGACTATCTGGCCTGGCCTCACGTGGTCTAGCCAGAAGGAAGCCGTTTCCTGTTAACTCCTTGGGACCCATTTAATTGGAAAAATCGGCCTAACATCTAACACCTCCTGCCTTCAAGGGCTGGCCTGAGGGAAATTTCTGCTCTCTGATTCCACAGTCACAAATTCCAACTGATTTCCCGGCTGCTCCTAACCCTCCGTAGTGGGGTGACTTGCTAGGCCTGGGCCAGAAGGGAGAGGAAGTCTGGAAATACAGGAAGGATATCCCCCTCAATCCTCTGACTCCCACGCTTTTCTGTTTAGGGAGAAAGAGTCTCTGAAGTAAGTCGTCACATCTTCAGGCGGAGCTCGGCCCCAGGGACTGAGATCAGGGGCAGAAGCAGGTAGGGCAGGGCTGCGAGCCTTGGAGGGGAGAGGGCTGGGCTGGGGACCAGGAAGGAAGACTCTGTAAGTCTGGCCGTGTGGGAGCAGAGCAGGCCACCTCCAGCTCTGTGGTCATCGGTGGAGGGTGACCATAAGGCGGGTGGACTCTCATCAGCTTCTGCCTTGAGCCTGTTTGGTCCAGACCGCGGGGCAAGGGTTTTAAGGGAATGCCGTGTGATCTCAACAGCATTTTCTAGGGCTGGGGATGAGGTAGAGGTCATGCAGGGGACCTGAGGGGAGTGCCAGCTGACTTCTAAGGGAGAGGAGGTGCTCTGAAATATCCATTCTGCAATGCAACCCTCTGCCTTGGCATGGGAGGAAGTGCTAATCTGGCTTGGTTTTCTGTTTTAGTTCAAGTCCTGGCTTGCCCCCCACCCACAAAGGACGCTGTGGTGGAAGCAGCAACAGCAAGCAGGAGAATGGGAAAGAGCAGCCATCAAGAAGGTAGACCTCTGCCTTTGAGCCCCTGGACCTGTCCTCACTTTGTCCCCGGTGCTGGTGGTGGGACTCCTGAGGCAAGGCCCGGCTGGGGCCGGCAGGAGGGGCAGAGACGCTCATTGCTCTGGGCTGGGCTCCCTTCCTCTGAGGTCCTGAGGGCCGTCTGAGGCTGGCCCAGAGCGGGACTTGGCGGGGCCTACTCTGGGGCAGCCCCAGAAGGTCCAGGCTAGAGGAGGAGCAGATAGGGAGCAGGGAGCCCCAGAGCCAAGGGATCGCTGATAGGGCTTCTCATTCATTCCTTAACTTAATCCTTGCAATGACCCAAGGAGCCTGGGCATATTATTGTCCACATTTTGGAAAGGAGGAAACACAGAGAGGCTAACGAACTTGTCCAGTGTCATGTAGCTAGTTAATGGGGGACCCCCCCCCCAGCCTCATACAGAAGCTGCAGAGCCACCCGTGCTCTTAGCCACCAGGGCCCCGTCGTCTCTGAAACCACCTGGAAGTTTGCAACTGCTCTGTAAGAAAAGGGGTTCCCCTGGCCTGGCAGCCCCAAAACTTGTGGTCCAAGGCTGCATGGCATCAGTTTGCTAGGGTAGCACGCACTTCCTGTGGCACTTCCCTTCCCGGTCCCCAGGACGCACCCTGTCCCTGGCCGCTCTGCTGAAATTATCTGCAAGAACTGCCAGTTGGATCTGTGACATGTCTGCCTGCAGCTGGAGTGAAGCATCTCTCAGCCTGTGTTCTGAATGTGTCTTCTGGGCGCTCCTGTGTGCATGCGTGCGTGTGTTCCAAAGGGGCAGTAGCATGTGGGAAGGGAAAAAGCATGACACTTGTTTTTGTCAATCCGCTGACTGCTCAGCACCGGGGCGGCCTCCTTTGCCCCCAGCTGCTCTGCCATTTCTCTCTTCAAAATCCTGCCCGATCCAGAGCAGAGATCAAAGCAGATTTCCGCTTCTGCTCCCTGGGATCCAGGCACAGACCTGCAGGGAGCTGCTCCCTACCGTCTGGAAGCCATTCATCTTGCAAAGCACCCCCCTACCACTTCCCGCACGTGCACCCCCCCTTCCTTGCCATCCAGCCCCCATGGCAGGCGGGCAGGCGGGCAGGCGGGCAGGCGGGTGGGCGGGCAGAGAAGTCTCCGTCTGGCTGGCCCCTGCCAGCAGGAGGCAGGAGATGGGGAGTTCTCTAGACAGAAGCCCCTCTGTCGCCCTGACTCCACATCTGAAGGAGGGAAGGAAAGCGTGAGAAGCTGCAGACAGAGGGGACCCACACTGAAGCCATGGGGGAGGGGCTGTTGATCCTGCAGGGAGCCTGGTGACGCTGTGGAAGCTTCTAGAAGTAGGGCGGGGCAGAGGCAGGGGAAGGGTCCCACCAGGGGAAGGAGCACTGGGCTGGAACCACCGCAGAGCCCCGCTGCGCGGTTGACCCGAGCCAGGAGTTCGTGACCACCTGTCTCAGCTCCTGTCAGCTTGTCTTTCTCCTGCCAGGCAGCGGTCTTCCTGGTGACAGGGCTGTCAGGCTGCGGGCCAGAGGGCACCGTTCCTGGGGCCCCAGTCGGCGTCCCCGAGCCCTACCTGTGTATTCACCCTCTAATCTATTTGCCATGTTCCTGTCACTTCAGCCCTGGCTCTGCTCTCTGCCGTTTCCAGGTGGCCTGTCTCCTTGCACTAGTCTGAGGAATTGTCAGGCCAAGGTCAGCTGGCTGGACAGGGGCTGGCTGGCGGCCCAGACACACCTCCACAAAGCGACACCCCTTCGCAGCACTGTTCTAGGAGCCTGCTCAGGCGATGGTGGCTCCTCCAGGCATGGGTCCCAGATGAAGGGAGGGAAGGCGAGGGGTTGGGGGGAGTGTGTTGGCTGGCCTTGGCGCCTGCCTGGGCCCTGGCAGCTGGGGTGCCATGTGGGCCGGGAGGGAGGGGCCCTCTCCCCCAGGGAGCAGGCTGGCTTTGGTGGGAGCAGATTGTGTTTACACCTTCCCCACACGCCCAGCCCACGCTCCCTCTTATTCCCCGGGGCTCTCCCACCCCTGGGCTCTCTGCACAACCTGCACATTTGCAGCCCCTTTCCTGCTGCAGGAAGGGGCCACCCTCAGCCAAGCGCTCCTCTAGAGAAGGCTGCCCAGCCCGAGGCACTCCTTCCTCAGCCCCCTGTCTCCCGTTGCAGGGGGCGGACCCAGTGTCCCCAAGAGGCTGCCTCCTCCCCCCCCACCCCATTTCCTTGGAAAGAGCTGCTGCTTGGGAATGGGAGCAGGAAAGCCCAGGGGCTTGGCAGACTGACCATAATAGGAGGGAAGAGATTAAGGGCAACCGGAGAGACAGCGCTGAGGCCGAGAGCTGGTGCCTCCCTGGCCCCGGGGGTGCTGGCTCTCATGAAATATCAATGTAGAATCTAAGAGTGAGGAGTCCGGACTCAGAGCACCGGATTTGAATCCTGACTCCACCATCTCTTCTCAGTTCTGTGGCCCGGGCTGGGTTACTGAACGCCCCCGCCTAGGATTTCTCCTAAGAGGAGGGTAACAGTAAACTTGTCTCAGAGTTCTTGTAAGGGTTAAATTAGATGACGTGTCTAAAGTGCTTAGCGCACTTAGTAAGTGTTCAATATATTTGAGCCCAGGGAACAGTGTTAACTACTGAACAACAGGTCACTTTGCAACAGTGGTAGGTTCAGAACAGCTAGTCCTTCGCCTCCTCACCCCATAGCCCTTCCTGCCCTGTCTTTGCACATACTCAACAGCGGGGACATGGGCAGTTCTGGAAACAAGCCCGAGCCCGGCCCAGCACAAGGGCACCCAGTAAGACCCAGCAGCCAGGCAGACTAGACCGGGGAGCACCGCTGGGTGCCTGGAACCCTGTCCCAACCTCCAGTGGGAGGTCTGACCCGGATACCTTCCCTGCAACAGGCTCTGCTTCCCTGCATTGATCTCAGCTCCTAGAGAAGACAGGAGGTGATGGCCCTGATGCTTTTCCACCCTCTGTCTGATTGCTAATCTCTAATCTCTGCCGGTTGGAACCTGAGTGGCAGGGAAAAGGCTGCTCTGCACGGCAGGGCGGGAGCAGGGAGGTGCTGTTTGTTGTGGGCTACCTTTGTGGCTGAGACTCTGGGGCTGCTGCCTGTCTCTCCTGGAGACTGGGACATGACCGGAGAGCTAATGAGGTGGCGGGGGTGGGAAGCAGACGTAGCAGCTGCATCAGTCACCGCTGTCCTGTGTCACCCTAGGGGGCAGATGCCGCCACAGGGAGTACCCCCGCCCGTCCCAAACGTGTGGTTGCACGGATGCGGGCAGGATGGTTCTGGGCGAGGGCATCCAGCCAGAGGCACTGGTCCAAGACGAGGTGGGCGTGGCACCTGATCTAAGGCGGGCACGGTGGCATAAGGACGGGTCCCACCGGTTCCCAGGGACCCTTTATGGGACCTCAGTTAGGAAGAAGCCCAAGACCTTGAGCTAGAGGGAAGTAATGCTTCTTCGTGAGCCTCGAAAGAAGGGAAATGGCCAAGGTTTATAGTAATATAATGATACTAATAATATTATTAATAATGGCTAATGTGTCTCAAACACTTCTGTGCTAGGTGCTGTGCCAAGTGCTTTATTTATATGCATTGTCTCATTTATGGGGCAGGAACTGTTGTCATCCTCATTTACCCAATAAGGAAAGTGAAGTTCGCAGAGCTTGCTCAAGGTCACTCACAGCGAGTAGTGAAGCCAGGATGTGTGCCCGGGCATGTGATGCCAAAGCCTGGGAAGGTGTTGGGGCACAGAGCACTGACTTGAGTCTTGAGCTGGGGCTCGAGGACGTCCTGGATGTGACCTGTCCCCCAGGGCACAAGGGAGTGAGAGCTGTGGACCCTGCCCGCTGATATTCCCCCTGCTCACTCTGCAGAAACTCATCATTCGAGGCTGGGCCAGACTCTGGGCCCCGAAAGGCCAGTCCTGGCCTGCCGACTGAGGGGAGTGAGGAGAGCTGCCTTTCCAGGACCTGTCACGTCCCTCAGGGAGGAAGCAGTGGCCCCTAGCCAGGACGACAGACATCCTCAAGCTTGTCACTCATTGCCCCTACGGCTCTGTTGCAGAGCCCTGGGGGTAGGAAAGGATGGTAGCCAGTAGCCGGCCTGCGATGGGGGAGCTTGAGGAGGAAGGCTTTGTTGTTTGTTTTTGCAGGGGAGGGTGTGCGGTTTCAAGGAGGTGGCTTCAAGAGGGACCCTCTGACTTCAGCTGGAAACCAGCCCTTATACCTAAGGATCATGGACCCTCTCTGTGGGATACACATGCCCCCTAGCGGGGATTAAGCCGAGAGGGTGGCTGAGGAAATTAAAACCAAAAAAAAAAAGATTTTCTGATAAGATTATGGCCTCTGAGCCTGGATAGGAATGGCCAGTCCCGTGTCCGTGCAAATGCACGTGCCCGCGCGCGCGCACGCACACGGGCACACACAGGTTTAATACCATTTGCAGAGGCCAGGTGAATGGAGCATTCAAAGAAATGATTTCATTTCTTCCTTGGTCATTTATTTAAGAAGCGTGTATCGGGAGCCTGTGACGTATACACCATGTGGTAGGTGCTGGAGTCAGACCGTGATGAAAGGGACGGTGCCCGACCTGCCAGGGGGGACAACAGGAAGAACCTGGCTGGGGAAGCCCAGGTGTGCTGCCTTGGCCGCTGTCTGGTCACATGAGCTTTCCTTCTCTGGACCTCAGTCTCCCCATTTAACAGGCAGTGTGGAACCCAAGTGGGCTGGTGCTGAGGATGGGAGGGACCCCCTGACTACCCTCAGAAGAAGAACCGTCTGGTAAAATGAAGGGGATGGACCACTTCCAGATTCTCCCAGTCAGAACAAGCTAAGATGGACTGTGTTTGGAGGTGCTGACAATGACTCGCCCCCTCCGCAAGCGTGGATGGAGCACCTGTATGCCAGGCCCCGTGGGTGCAGAAATGAAGTAAAGCTTCCTGCCACAAAGAGCTAGAAAACATGGCAAAATAGAAGCAACCGACACTTGATGGC